AATCTCAGTCAAAATCCTAAACTTTAAAAATTTTAAGTTTCCAAAGTTTTAAAAATAAGAACAAAGTTGTAAGCCTTATGCTACCCTATTTAACAATTTCCTTTAAGTGTGGTATTGGCATAATTTAGACATCTAAGTCTGTACTACAAAATAGAGAAGTCCAGTAATAAACCTACACATATATGGCTAGTTAATTTTGGCAAGGATGATGATGTAATTAAAACAGGAAAAGGATCATTTTCCTTAACAAATGGTGCTGGAAGAACTGGATGTGTATGTGCTAGCCAGCCTGCAAGATGTCCCCCAACAATCTTTGCTTCTAGGTATTCAGATCCTTGTGTAGTGTCCTCCCATTGAATTGGAGCAGATTTATGTGACCAATAGAATATAGAACTGAGAGAATATGACGGCTAATCAGGAGTGGCCCTCACAATATGGAAATCAGACCATTTTTCTCCCTTGTTCAAAGTATTTCAATGGCTTTCTGTCTCACCCAATCCAATTTGAAGTCCTCACCTTGGCTTAATAACACCTTTGATGAATACTTCTCTGACTCCTTCTTCCACCCCTCTCTCCCTTACTTTGTCAGCATGTGGCCTTCACTGTTGCTTGAATCTGCCTTGACCTTGAAATCAGCATTGTTTGCCCCCTCACTTGACTCTGATCTCAGATTACATAAATGTCCCATTAACAGGGAGTTCATCACGACTACATGTCCAAAATAACCCAGCCCCCAAAATTCTGAACACTGTATTGCTTATCTTTGCAGCACATATCACCACGTGACACACAGCACGTCTACATGTTTGCTGATTTATGCTGTTGCCTCCTCTTTCCACTCCACACACTGGAAAGTAAGATCCATCCAAGTGGCAACTTTGTTCTATTCACATAATCCCCAAAGCCTAGAAAAACACCTAGAACGTGATAGGAGCTCATGAAATATGTTGAATGCATAAACAAACTTCTGTACTTTATCAGACTGGGAAAACAGGAACATGAGAAGTCAAAATGAGGCCAAAATTCAAAAGAGGAGAAATTGCAAAAGGAAAAGAAAAAGGAAAATGCAAAAAATGGGGGTTTATCACAAGATCATGGCAGCTCCAGAGAGTGTTTCAAAGCTCACAGTCTGGGTCAGCTAATGAGAGGGCACTAAAGAAATATTCCAGGGTTAAGCCGAGAGAGAAAGTTTACAACTATCTAAGCAACTCTGCTTGCAGGTACATGGTCAGGTTGAGCAGACCCTCAAAACAGAAAACAAATAAAATAGTGCAGGAATAGCTTTGGTACTACCTGAAGAAACAGTAATTACTCTGAAACTGACTAATTTCTGGGTTACCATGAGAAGAAGGTGAGTTATGTGAAAGAGAAAGTTAACTGAGGTAAAATGGGGACTTGGGGGCAGATTATGTTCTGATCATGGCAAATTTCTTTTTTTAAAAAGATCTTAAAATTCACAATTCAAGAAGCCATCCTCAGCTCTGCTTCCTCTATCACCTTTCTTCCTGAAGCCCTCCTGACTTCTTTTCCCACCAATGTAGGGCAGAGGCACCATGCAGGTACCTTGGATGAAGTGGAGACTGTTGTTTCCCAAAATCCATTTTCCCCCTCTTCCCTATCATTGAGGAACCCTCTGAGTTTCACCTCGGCACCTGACCACCCAACCATAGACTACAATGCTTTGTCCCAGTCGATGCTAGGGATGGATCTGTGACTGATTTCACAACAGTGGGATTCCAGTGGAACTGACCTGTCCAAATCCTTTGTTATCATCTTAGGCATATCCACCATGCACTGGCCATTTCCTGCAGTCTGGAGCATAGCAATGCCACCTGGCCAGTCTGCATCCCTAGATGACTTTGTGGAGGAAAACCTTCGTATCTACCCTGGTCTGTTTAACAAGAGAGAAATGAATCTTCTCTTTAGGTCCCTTTGCTACAATTATGTAGCTGGCATCCTAAATACTGCACTGGTGCAATGGTATAGAGGAAAAGGTATAGAATCTAGAGTCAGAATTCCCTAGTTCACAGCCCACACCTGCTACTCGCCAGGCAAGCATTTCCAAACCTTGTTTCTGCAAAATGAAAGAGTGATAATAAAACCTGCCTTGCAAGGGGTTGCATGTTTACAACTTTAGAGACACCAATAGTGTCTCATGCTTGGTATCCACTCAGTAAAGTGCTAGACTTCTTCTTCTTCTTCTTATTATTATTATTATTATTATTATTATTATTAAGATGGAGTTTTGCCCTTTGCTGCCCAGGCTGGAGGGTGGTGGCACGATCTCAGCTCACTGCAATCGCCACCTCCTGAGTTCAAGCCATTCTCCTGTCTCAGCCTCCCAAGTAGCTGGGATTACAGGCACCCGCCCCCATACCTGACTAATTTTTGTATTTTTAGTAGAGGTGGGGTTTCACCATGTTGGCCAGGCTGGTCTCGAACTTCTGATCCTAGGTGATCCACCCACCTTGGCCTCCCAAAGTGCTGGGATTACAAGCGTGAGCCACCGTGCCCGGCCTAGACTTATTATTAATGGTATTGGCCACACACAAATGCCTACCAGAGTGACAGCATGTCAGGAAAGGAAGGGATAAAGGAGAAGAGAGGCAGCAAGGTCTTTGGGTCTACCTGCCCAGCTTGCCCCTACCCTCTTTCCTGAGTTCTGAAGGAGTGGCATGCACCACTACGCATTTTATGCCAGATGAAGACATCCTCATAGGCTAGGATGGGAAGTCTTCGTGGCTTCCCTTGGCCCTCTCCAGTTTTCTTAATCTTACTTAAGTCATTTTCCATCCCCAATCAATCACTTCACAGAAGCCCCGGTGACAATGCACTGCATCCTGCTCTCAGTCATGTGCTTTCCCTTTAGCTGGAAAAGCTAAAATGTGAAGACAAAGCAATACCTCCATGATCCTCCAAAAAGGGTTTCTGTGGTTTTAAAACCCTCAGTGAGGAAATGCCTGAAAATAACTTCTCAGCTGGAACAAGACCAGTGCCGCGCAAGTCCTCCAAAAATCCCTGGGGACGGTTTCCCTCCTCCTCTTTCTAACTCTCCCTTTAAAAAAAATCTGTGCTTCAGATTTGCAACTTTCGCATCAACTGTGGAAATCTCTGACAAACACGGGCAAAAAAAAAAAAAAAGTCTTCCCAGATATGATGTACTGTAATGTTTACCATTTTAAAAGAGTCACTTCTTAGCCTGCTGCACAGTAAATAACCCATTTGTTTCACTCAAATCACTTCACATAATAAAGGACTTGTGTAAATTCAGCAGGAGTTCTGTCATCCCTAGGTGATGAGTTGGCATTGGAGGATTTATCGCTACCATCCACCAGTATGAAAAGCTGGTGCTGCGCTTTTTAACACGACGAAAACAGTGAGAAAGTTGCAGTTCTGGCTTGTGAATTCATCAAGAGCTGACTTCATGAAATCTTAATGAACAGATTCAAGCAAGGACTGGGAATAACTCATTCAGGCAAACAAAAATGCATTAATGCAACATTAAGCTCAAGAAATATAAACCTACAGAGCTTAAATATTTAGTCAATGCAGGTGAAATAAATAGTATCTTTTTGTATATGCATATTTATGCATAGCAAGAGACAGAGACAGAAAGAGAGAGAAAGAGCAAGCACACAAATATCTATAACTCAGGATACAATGATGTAACGTTGTCCAATGAAACTTTCAGTAATGATGGGTTAATAACCTCAGGTCAAAAGCCGCCCTTGGACTTGCTCCAAAAAATGCTGTCAGCAAGGGAGAATTTGACCCAGCATTACACTGAGAATTCCTGAAAACTGAATTTACTCCAATATCTGAAGGCACAGATACATAACAGGTTGGAGGTGCCCAATTTGTGTTTTCTTCCTGGCTAAAGATGTTTTTCTTTGCTAAAAAGCCTAACTCCCATCTGCCTTTCTCTGCCAGTGTCTCTGGGGAGTGCTCTGTTGACAGTGATGGTCTTCAGGAGCCCACCCTTTCAACTGGAATTCACAGACAGGATACACTGAAGTCTGGGTGCAGTTTTCAGCAAAAACAGGGGCAGGGGTGATGGTGAAACCTTGCCAATAACAGTGAAATCATGGCGGGCTCTGAGGTTCAACAAATATTTATGGAATGTTTTTTTCGTATGCCAGATGATCATTTCCTTACCTCAACACTACGAAGTTTCACTACCCTTGTCTCTTTCCGGGATGAAGGAGCCAAGATTGAGTGAGTGGAGGTGCTACCATGGTGCTCAGCTTATGAGCTGGTAGCCAAGACGTCACCTTCCTCCAGCCTGACCACCTGCTTTTCACTTATCCATGTTGCATTATGTAAATTTTGTCCAATTCTGCTATCCACATGCAAGTCCCCACTGTGCCAAGACATGCGGTTCCTTCCTTTGGTGCCACCTGTGAAGTAGCCTAGAGTTGAGAGTGAAATGCAAAGGGCAGTGTCCCCAAAGAATTCATTAGAGTTGCAAGGAGGACTAGAATAGGGCAGGTCTTGTTTCTCCATTCATATGCACCAGGCTGATACAGTTCCTTTCTCTGAGCTGCTCCCATACCCACTGGAAATCAGGCTAAGCAGTGAGCTGGCACAAGCTGCTTTTTAAATAAAAGTGCTTCACACCCAGGACATCTCAAAACGATAGCAAATAGACCCAGAGCCGAAGAGATAACAGTTGGACTATTTGAGCTAATGGTCGTTTTAGCTCCCTATAAACATTTTATTATTAATTCCATAAATGGTTAATATGAAACCCTTTATAATGCTTTCATTTAGGACTTGGTAAAATCATCCACTTGTTAGGTATATAACTGGGAAAATTGCAATACAAATATAAGTGATCATCATATTTTGGTCACATGTGGTTAATTTTTCTTAGATAAAACACCGAGGAACCCAATATGGAAATGTCAAAATTGCCTCGGAGTGAAAAACTCAATTTGAATATTTATGTACATGCTCCAAGTTGAGACAATCCAACAAACTGTTTAATAAAGACAAAAGGATTCAGCTGTTTGTGCACTTTAATTTGCAAAACAAAGAACATCACATAAATGTGATTTAGTTATATTATTATACACTTTAATTTATTATTCATGCATCTTATTTTCTATAACCAAAACAATAAGACATGTGTTGCAAAATATCAGCATTGCCACAATTCAAATCCCTTACAGGAAAACTTTGGTTAACCAGGACACAGTCAAGCTAGGAGGCCAGATGTACCAAGGGTGTGTGTAGATGCACAGACGTGTGACTACAAGAGAGAAAGAGGAGATATTTTTAATCAGTAAAGGTAAAAATAAAAGAAAATAGGCCAGCATGCAGAAAATCTTTAACTCTCTTGGCAAAGTGCTCCCACAAGCTATTTTCCTGTTTGATGTGCTTGTTCATCATCTCTACCCCCAGTTGAATGTACACTTTGGAAAGTGAGGCCTTCTTGCTTTTGTCTCTACTGTTTCCCCCTTGACTACTGCAGTGTCTGCCTCTTGTGGTGCTCAGGTCATTCAGTTGCATGAAGGTGTGGATGAGCAGTCTCTCCAGCTCAGTGTATACCACAGACTTAGGATCCGCATGGCCAGTAAGAAATGACATTATCACGATCCCAGGCCCCCATTGACCCAAAGACACATTTGTAATCTGATTGTTTGCTTGGTTTTCTTAATTGTGGCAAAATATACATAACACAAAATGTGCCATTTGAATCATTTTTCAGTACGTAGTTCAGGGGCTTTAAGCACATATTCGATGTTGTGTTACTATCTCCATCATCCATCTCCAGAACTTTTTCATTTTGCAAAATGGAAACTCTGTACCCATGAAAGATAGCTCCCCAATTCCCCTTCCCCTCAGTCCGAGCATTCAACATTCTACTTTCTGTATTTGTGATTTTGATTATGTTAAGTTCCTCATAAGAGTGGACTCATGGCCGGGCGCGTTGGCTCACGCCTGTAATCCCAGCACTTTGGGAGGCTGAGGCGGGTGGATCACGAGGTCAGAAGATTGAGACCATCCTGGCTAACATGGTGAAACCCCGTCTCTACTAAAAATACAAAAAAATTAGCCAAGTGTGGTGGCAGGCGCCTGTAGTCCCAGTTACTACGGAGGCTGAGGCAGGAGAATGGCGGGAACCCAGGAAGTGGAGCTTGCAGTGAGATGAGATCGGGCCACTGCACTCCAGCCTGGGCGACAGAGCGAGACTCCGTCTCAAAAAAAAAAAAAAGAGTGGACTTATATAATGTGTTCTTTTGTGACAGGTTTATTTCATTTAGCATGATGTCCTCAAATTTCACCCATGTTGCAGCAAGTGTCAGAATTTCCTTCTTTGTTGAGGCTGAATAAATATTCCACTAAATGCATATACCACGTTTTGTTTACCCACTCACCCATCAAAGGCCACCTGGGTCACATTTGGTTTTGATTACATGTACTGTCTAGGATTTTTTGCTTAGGTTTTTTTATTCTGTTTAATTCATTTGGAATGTCTTTAGATAAGGCACATCTTCTCCAATTTTTCACTCTCATTCCCTCTCTCCTGACTCCTCACCCAGCTTAATCATTTACTCCTTCTTTCCATGCCTTTCTATGAAGATTAAATTTTGCTGATTATATTCTACTTGCTAAGGCAGAAATAGGAATAATACATATTAGAAGTCAAGAATTAAACCAGGGAAGAAGTTTCTACTTAACTTCTGTTTAGTAATTTTGGTAAACCTTAAAGTAAAACATCTATTCCTTGAGGACTTCAGACATTTGAGGTTTTATTCAGTACATTTGAGGGGCATTTTCCTCTGATTACTTAATCCTAAATCATTTTATACAATTCCAGTATGATCACACTGGCGTGTTTGTGCACCTAGCATATTCTGACTTAAATTGGGTAGGTTGTCTGAATTCCTTCTTTTCATTCATTCATTCAATAAATGTTTATTGAGTGTCTATAACTTGTAAGACTTTGTACTGTTAGGTTGGTGCAAAAGTAATTGTACCAACCTAATAGCTTTGCAGATACAAGCATTAGCAAAAATTACATAGCTTTGGCCCTTGTGAGCACACTCTCGAGAGGCACCAATATTGAGCAAAGAGTACTTAAAGTAATGTAACATTCCAGCATGAAAACATACTAGGTCAATTCCAAACAGTGAAAGGAGTATGGTGCTACTTTAGCAAATAGCAAGGAAATCTGATGTAGTCCCAAATGTGAGTGTGTGGTGTGTGTTGGGGAGGGCGGTGGTGAACTGGAAGTGAGTGTTCTGTCAGTCTGACAATGTATACGAAGTCATCCAGGAGAGAAGTAATGGAATAGATAAACTCATTTCCTTTCCTTCCCATTCATTCATTCATTCATTCATTTCATTTAGACAGTCAGTCAATCAATTTTATTGATCATCTACTATGTGTGCCTGGCATAGTGTTAGGCACTAGGGGTATAATGATGAACAAGACACACATGGCCCTTACCTATATGGAGCTTACATCCTAGTGGAGAAAAACAATAAAACACAAGTACAGAAACAAAAAGACAAGAAAAAAAATGGCAAATATTGTAGGAGCTATGAAAGAAACCAACTAAGGCTTAAATAGAGAATAACATGGTGGGGGAACCACTTTAAGTAGGGTGGTCAGGTAAGACTTCTTTGAGAAGGGAACATTTAAATGGAGTCTGAACAGATTATACAATAAAATGGAAGGAAAAGCATTGTGACCAAAAGGAATAGCATAAGCAAAGCAAGGGATGAATTTGGAAAACCCCTGGCTGAAAAACAATGTGAGATTTGGGACTTGGGCAGTTGTTTCCCAGGCCTTGGCAATGAGTTTAGGATTTTGGTTGGGTGTTCATTTATTTTCAGGCTTTTGTTTCTTTTTGACATAATTAGAGAAGTGACAAGATCTGAACTCTGCCATAGGAAGACTGCTTTCGCTGCTTTGTGGAGCATGAATTAGGGACGCCGTTTAGGTGCAGCCCAAGGGAGGGATGGTGGTGTCTTGACCTCTGCATTTTCATTGCTTTGTTTTCTTTGGAATCCACCCCCCTCATTCCCCACTAGGATGTAAGCTCCTTGAAAGGGAAGTACTTCTGCCTGATTTTGTTCATGGCCATACACCAAGGGCCTGACAGTGCCTGGAATGCAGGAGCTGGCACTGAATAATGGTCTTAACCTGCTTACCTTTACACATCAAGATCCCTACCAGGGTAAATTTACTGAAACAGTGTCTGTGGTGGGGTTCTTACCATTTTCACTTAGCTTGAGAATTCTCAGCGAGCATGCCAGCAGTCTCACTCTACTTTCAAGCGAAGATTTAGTATCTGGAAGCAGCGGTAAGATTGCAGATTGCGAAGGCTTCATTACCTTTACAAAACAGACTACAGGGCATTTACTTGTGTGCTCTGAAATATTATTATAAAACTAAACCACACTTGTCAAAACAAACAAGCAAAGTAAATTCCAGGAGGCATTATAGCCTCAATAGCAATTGCATTATTTTTACAAGCTAATTCATAAAACCAAATAATTCATAATGGTGCACTCCTTCATAAATGTGAATGTGTGAGACCCTATAGCATGAATACATCAATGCAGATGTGTAAATAACTATACTGATCCCTCAATAAAAGTGTTTTATTCTCATCACTATTGGATAAATATGCCACTGGAATAATTTACTTCTTTTCCCTCTTGAAATAATATTTCTAAAGGTAAAAATTTAGATTCAGAAAATTGTTTAAAACTGAGTTTGATTAGAGTCTGCCAAACTTCAAAAGAGGAAAATGGATGATAACTAATAATCATAACAGTAATAATATGAAAGCATTTGGCATGCAAAGCTCATGACTTCATATACTTCAGCCAATTAGTCACCTGAACGTTTCCAATTATTCGCGTGTGTTGGCATTGTGCAAATAAAACATCTGAATGACTGACTGCATTTTTCTTTTCTCATTCGGAGGTTTTTTATTCAAAGTTATTGCAACTTTTAGAGGAGAAGCAGTGCTTTTAAAGGGTACTTTCGCACAACATGCTTTGATTTGATTTATCATCAGAGTAAAAATACCTATTAGTCATTTAGTTCATCTCTCTCCACAACTCTGACTTCTTGCTTTATATATGGCACACGACAGGTAAATCTCACAGATACTAACATAAAATAATACTTAATATGCATATGATCCTTCCAGTTTCAAATACCCTTTCATAGTCCAAATTGAGTAAATATAAAAAGAGCCATTTTTTAGATCCAGCTGGAGTCTTCCAGAAAATGATACTTCATATATACATTATGTGGAAAAGTAAATGCATTGTAAAACATGAAAATGTATATCCTGATATTCATTAAATGCCTACAGGATCATAGTTCCAGCTGCAGTTGACCACAGATTCTTACCTGAAATCACTCACTGGCATTATAAGAGTTTGTATCATGAAAGTGTCCAGTTAGAACTAACAGCAACTTTGTTTTCAGGGTTTAATCATAACTGCATGTTTGCATGCAGTGGGTATAATAGATCTTATGTCTTAATCGTTGTGAAACATTTGCTTCATTTGGAAGGTAGATTGGTATTTTCAGTGGAAATGATCATACACTTATTAAGAGCTAGTAGGAAGCTTTGGATTGCCTAAAATACAGTATAAAGTGTCTTGAGGGTGTGGAGTAGGGGTAGAGGAGGACTTGAAAGGGTGAGAGATTACTCAATTGAATTGTGAAAAGAAGAATCAGGAAGATTTAAAATAAAATGGCAAAGAAATGAAAAATATCTGCTAGCATTCTTGAAGCATTCTCGCAAGACTCTATAATATGAATTTGTTCTTGAAAATACCTTGACTTGAAAGCTTTTGAAATTCTTTGATGAAAATTGCCATCTGAGTACAAAGCAATAGCATTATTAGTAATTATTACTATGAGACATTAATTGAAACTAGCAATAGAAGAATTGATAGTAAGTTTCACAAGTGTAAATAGTACATATCTTGCTAATATTTTGGCAAAAAAAAAAAAGAGCAGAAACACTAATTATTATTTTTACTCTTTCTGCACATGGAAAACAAACGTTAGAACCAGATGAGTAAAACTATGAAAGATACCGTGTGACATTCAATAGCCCAGAAATAGGATTCTTAAGAGAATGGTTTCATTTCTTACTATGATTTCATTTAACCCACCTCATTTATTCAACAACTGTGTTTTGAGCACTGACTATGTTCCAGGCACTCTGCTAGGAACTGCTGACCAACAGAGGACCTAAAAGAGACCCCATCTTCAAGAAGGTAAGAGCTGGGTGGAATATCTACATGAGTTTAACAAGTTTTAGTTTCATTAGTTGTAGTACGGATAGTATCATTATTAATACTTGGTTGAGTCTCAATTCAGTAGTAGCAGAAACATGAAGTATTTCATTTCTGTGCAGCCAGAGGAACTTCTGGGTTCCTCTGATATGGTTCGGGCAGGTATTGGGAGTGGTTCCCGTCTTCTTTCCAAATGTCCAAATGCAAAGTGCCTATTTATCACTCATCGATGGAACAGCCTATTTCAAAGGCATTCTTGCCTCTACCAATCCCTATTCTACACCAAAACCTGGCCTCAGTGCACTTCTCAGATATGCCCCCAGGCATACCAGAGAAATCAATACAGTAAATAGTCAATTAAGATTTTGTTTTTAAGGGCCAGGATAGAGCACACACGGATAAAGCAGAAATTCACAGAGGAGGTTCCTAACCCAACTCCAGCGACTTAGGGGAGACTGAAGTGTGAATTGGCTCACAGGATCATGTATCCACAGTGAAAGCTAGTACTGAACATTCCTCACGGGTGCCATGTGTATTGCTCAAATTAGGGAATCTTCCTCTAATCTGAAGTTATCCTAAGCCTCGCTCAAATTTTAATTCCAATTGTTGTCATGTTGGAGGTTTAAAGAAGTGTGGAATAATTCAAGGAAGGATAATGTATCTTATTTCTGCCAGGGGAGTCAATTATCCTGTGAACAGAGGAAGAACTCTGGTTCGGAGCTCTCTGAATGCAACGTGGGAATAGCTGGGGAGGAAAATGTTGCTGTGTGAGAAAGAAAAACTAAACAAACAAACAAACAGAAAAACAAAGTGAGGCAAATGGCAGAATGTACAAACAAAGATAGAGACTGTGGGAACCTCAAGAGAATCCCCTGACTCCACTAATTAGACAACACTGTTGGGGCTTTGCACTAAAATGTGAGGTGAACCACTTCGAAAGGATCCAGAGGAAGGCAACGATGGTACCCCACAGTCTAGGGTCACCGGGGATATTGATGCTGTCGGAAGAAAGCTCAGAGACAGTTTCCAGTCGCTGTGTCAGCATAAAAGAAAGAATCATAGGTAGGGACACCGGACAAGGTGAAAGGGTCAGGTGTCAGCAGGGGGATTTGGGTTATGCTGGTTCCAAAAATAATCACTTGTTCACATGCTTGGGGAAGGCCATCACCCAGGAAGAGGTGATTTGATGACTGGCTGTGCAGAGGAGGTCAAGACCCCCGAAATCAGTAAGGGCTGCCCAAGCCCCTCGGGAGCCATCTGGCCGTGAGTTGCAGTCCCTTAAGACAAGAACGGCATTCTCACTCCTCTGCTGACCCACCCCACAGCAGCCCTTTGCCAAATAACTGCATCAATAACGACATCCCAGAGTCCAGAAAACCCAGAAAAGAAACAAGCTTTCGGCAAATCGTGGGCCCAAGGCAGGTGCTTATGGAGTTTCCTTTATTATTTCCTTTTCTTTTTCCTAGAAGTAGTTTAAATGTTTCAGTGGTTCTTTGCATTTTTCGTTTCTGTATTTATAAAAGTATAATCAATAATTCAAAAGAAAGGTGGAAGGACATAAAATATAGAACTGCACTATCCAATACAGTAGTCACTAGCTACATGTGGCTTTCGAGCACATGAAATGTGATTACTTCAAATTGGGAAGAGCTGTAAGTCTATGACACACCTGGATTTCAAAGTCTGTGGATCAGAAAATGACGAAAAAATATTACGTGGATAACTACTTTATACTGATTATAGGTTGAAATGATAATATTTGTGTAGATTAGATTATATATATATACTATTAAAGTTAATGCATCCATTTCTTTTTACTTTTTAAAATGTGGCTACTAGAAAATTTAAAATTAAATATGTGGTGCACATTTGTGGCTCTCATTATCCTTCGGTTGAACAGAGCGAACACAGAATCCAAAACCAAAGTTTTTAGGCCTGAGCATTCTGGTCCTCAGAAAAGGTACTCATAACATTTTGTGTATTCATCAGAACTTCTTTGATACATATACAGTAAAAAACAAAATAGGACAATTTTATATGTATTTTACTGAAATTGGCTTTGTTTTTCACCTAATAATATACACAGGAGGTGCTTCAACGTTGGCATAGGAACATTTCTCTCATTCTTCATTATTGCTGCATGGATGTTGCATTCATGTTCCCCAAATCCATTGAACATTCCCTTATTTATGAACTTAAGCTTTTTCCTCTTTTTTTTCCGCCCCCCCTTTGTAACAACATCACTGACCTCTTATTGGAATTGCTGGATCAAAGAGAATGAAAATTTTTTATTTTGATAGAGACTACCAAATTGTTTTCTAAAAAGTAATCATCAAATTATATTACCAGCTAGTATGAAAACAGCCATTTTTCACACCTTTGCCAAGTTTTTAAAATTGTATCCAATCTGATGGATGCAATTTATCTCATTTACATTTGGTTTTCACTGATAACTGCTGAGGTTGAGTATTTTTTCACCTGGTTATAACTAGTACAGTCACTAAATAGAAAACAACTTCATCCGTCTTCAAACTTTCTGTTGAAAACCCAATCTGAGACCCAGACTTTTTCACATTTTCTTCTGTGTCCTCGCTTTATGAATGAAACCTCAGAAAATCTTTTTGTGTTTTCCAGGACTAACAAAAGTCAAAGTCTTCCCATCTCTTCCGGTCATAGGAACCATCTTGCTTCAGGAACTAAAATGTCCAGTCCAGACTCAAGTACATGGGTCATTCTTTACTTTATTCAACTTGAAGCTGATCTGTCCTCCCGCTCAGCCTGTCCAGGCTCAAACATTTTCCCTTCCTTCCCATCCACACCCAATGTGGGAGGAGCTGGTAGCTTCCTCCTCATCCCCTACCCTTGTACTTACTTTATTAGTTGTTTGGGTTCTTTTCTTGATGTGGGTAGAAGAAGCTGTCTACGTATTCTGCACAAAAAATTCTTTGTCTGATATATACATTGAAACTATTTTCTCCCAGCCTGTCACTTCTTTTTTTTAACTTTATCATATCTTTTACCAAATATAGATTTTGAATGTTGATTTATCAAGCTGTTCTTTTAAGTTC